GGCACAAAATTATATATATATATATATATATATATATATATATATATGAGAGAGAGAGAGAGAGGGAGAGAGAAAGATTGGGTTCAGACAATTCTAACTTTGGTGCAAGTGATATCCAGTGAGAAACAAATGCACTTTGCATGACAAGATTGTTTGATGTTGAACTTTCTGTAATCATTTAATTAAAGAAAAAAGAGCCTTCTTTTTTGAAATGTCGCTAGGGATGTTGACACTTTTGTACGTAAATTTGATAAATCTAAGACTGACAGCGTATAGGGCAAACAATTTTGCTTAAAGGTCACATGAAATGGAAAACGTGGAGACGCGTATCTGATATTACGATTTGTTTACGTTTCTATCAAAGTATGTATGTTTATTTCAAGAGAGACATTCAAAAGAGTCTTGATATTAATTTCCCGGAAAATGTTGCAACAAAATTCGATCTAGCGTGCAATGAATGTGGTCGCGTCTTTCTAAGTAGGGCAGGCCTAAAAAATCACCAAAGACTTCACACACAGCGAGAAGTCATTCATTACACTTTTATCTTTTTTTTTTCTTTCTTTATCATTTAGCCACAGCCAAGGCAATAAAGCTACTAAGGTACAAGGGAGGGTTACTGAGTAAAAAGAATACGAGAAAAAGAAAACATTAAGAAACGAGAACAACAAAAGAACAGGAATTAAGACAGAAGATAATGATTGACATTGGATTTAAAATTTGAAGATCAAAATTGACCGGAATGAAGGAGCCGGAAGTGAGTTCCATAAGCGAAAAGAGCAAGGAAAGACAACTCTTGCTATACAGGGTGAATGGATAAATTGTCGTCTAAATTATGCAAAAATGAAAATAACAGCAACATCTTATTTTAACAGATATATTTACCAAAATTATACAAAAATATCTTGAAATATTAAAGAGTAAATTTAATCAATAAAATCACCATTATTCAATAAATATTCAACCACGGCCTCCAGACGACTTTGGAATCTCCTGCAACTCTTCTGGGCGGTCTCCTTGTTTAATTTGGTGAATGCTGCCATAATCCTTGCCTTCATTTTATCTTTCGTGTTACAAGGAGTTTTGTTGGTCTCTCGCTTAACTGTGCCTCACACATAATAATCAAGGGGGTTACAATTTGGGGAGTTAGGTGGCAAGATGTAAGGGGTGATGTAAGAAACTGAGAGCCATGACTGGATCCTTCTGCTTGTGTGGCACGGTGCAGAGTTCTGTTGCCATACATAGGGTCTTCCAGTAGCCACCCACTTGATCCAGGGCAGCACTACCTTCTCAAGGCAATTCATATAGACCTCAGTCGAGTCTGAGGCTCTCACCAACAAAATCTGGAGTTCTTTTCTTATCAGAACGATCAGAGTGAGTTTCCCGAGCTGTTGTACCATCGTAATCACCATTAGACTCATCCAACTCTTTTTGAATCCTGTGTAAACACTCTGAAATGATCATACTGGAGCTTCTGGCATGAATGCTAAGAAGTACAGCATGTCATTTCCAAATTTCTGGCGGAGTGAATTGCGTCATGGTGCTCTTTTTCTCGCAGACGGTGCCCAACTGACCCTACTATACTGTGCAGTCGACAAAATCATAAACAACGTGCATGTGCAAAATTAAAAATATAAAATGGCAACAATTTACTCATTGCACCCTGTATACATAAAATGGAGGAAGAAATCATGGAAGCCAAACATCTTTCCCAGATGGAAGGAAAATAGCTGATTTCTCTATGAAAGGTTATACCTATGCCAATATGAATCAAAAGATGAATCCATTTGGCAGCAATAATAACAACAACAAAACAGACAAATATACTGCATTCATCGAGCAGATGGTGCAATTTTTTTTTTTAGAAACTTTTAAAAAAAGAACATGCATGGCTGAAAGCTGCCAAATAGAAATAGTAAATAAATTTGAATTGCTCATTTTTAAACCTAATACCACCTATACAAAAAAGAAATCTCCCCTAAAGCAAACACCAGTAGACAAAAATCCCAAAAGACTACCAATTCGTCCACTAAATCACAAAATAGACCTCTATTTTCATGCCCCCTTTTAAAATATGACCCCCCCTCCCCAAAAAAATCAGTTCTGACACTCCCAAAAATAAATTTGAGGTAGTAGAGAGAATGAGAGAGAATGGATGTTACACCACCAAAAATTTCCAAACAAAAAACAAAACATGAGAATAGTATAAAAGTCAAATAAAAATACAAACATAGGATATAAAATACTAGAATGGAAGTGTCGTAAACTAAAGCCAACTTACAATTAATCGTGTATTATTGGCAGAACTATGATTACTAAACGTTACTTCAGTATATTCAAAGAAAACATTTTCTTCACTTGAATGTTTGAAAAGAAGAATTCGATTTCAGAATAATGTTCCAAAACATTCCGTTGCAAAAATAAATAAATAAATAACAGTTTTTACAGAAGCAAAAAGATATATTCTCAATTAGTCAAATACATCATTGGATTTAAATTCGATTAAATCAATATCTATTGCTTTGTTGACAGAAAGATGATCAAATTTCAGATAAATTGTTTGTCTATTTAAAATCCCATATCCTATAGTTATTAGGAAATATATTCATTTTTTAAATACAGTAATAACTTCTAATGCTGGCTTATATTCTTTTTCCTGTTACCTTGGGGTTTATTGCCAGGCATAATTAGAAAATAACCCTTTTCAGTTTCATTCAAATTTTTAAATGCATGTTTGTCTGTAGGTCCGCTCGGTAATGATGGGACGTCACTTGTTTGATTGGAGGAATCATTTTATGAGATCAACGTCCAGCTACTAAAGGTGGGGTGATGTAGGAGTCCAGGGTTTGTTGTCCATGCACGTGGAACATTCACTAGAAGTGTTGAACGCCTTAGCTCTCGTTAAGGTGTCCAACTCAGAGAAGAAAAATTTATGTCTCACTTGCAGCTTGAAATCATCCAACAATGTTGACTGATTTTTTTTTTTTTTTTTTGCAAATGTTACTCTTCCTCAGAGAATCGAATTGACCCAAGGCAAAATTTCATGCACAGATGTGGTTTGATATCGTTAATCAAAAGTGAGGCTTATAATAATATCCTAAAAGAGGCCAGCATAATCTATCTCGTTCTATTCGTATCTATTTTAATTAATTCCCTCAAAGCAAGGCGATGTAAGACGCAATGTGTTACTAGGAGAATGAGAAGATTATAGATGGAACCGGAAGCCCAATCCTAAACAAGAAACAAGGGATAATCCCCTACTTCTATTCAAAATTCCGGGGTGGGGTGTAAACCAGACGATAGACAAACCTATCTGCTCATGTTAGAAGAAAAAAAAATAACAATAAATAGCAAATAAAATGTCAGTGTTTAGACCGAGACGTTAGATATATAAAAGATTTTTTTTTTCTGGAACAGGAAACTCAATCCTGTTCAGCAAACAAGCGTGTTCATAAGACGGGGAAGGAGCGTGAACCGGACGATAGGCGAACCTATCTACTCCTATCTATATATCTATCTAATATATAAATTAGAAGTGGGAGCATTTTAGTAACATTAAACAAAGCATATACATTCATTACGCAATGTGTTAGCAGTTTACAAAATCTTCAACCTCAACATATAAATCTGTTAAATTTAGATTAATGCTAACATTAAACCAAGCAAATAAATCTGCCTATCTCGTCTTGGGTATGACGATAAACTACACTCGGCAGCAAGGCCTCTAATCGGGCGATTGGAGGTTTTGAGGAGCATGGAACCACCACTTAATTGCTGTTTTCCCCAGGTCCAGCCATCCCTAGGGTTTTTCACCTATAGGGTTCCAAAACTTAAAAATAGTGAACCGCAAGACAAAAATCAACAGTACATTTTTATAATAAAATGACCAACAATATATTATTTTATAAAAAAATGATAATCAATGGAAATTTAAAAAAACATATAAAGTTATGTTTTTATAGAAAAATTACCAACAATAATTTCATGATCTACAAAATGTATATCTAAAAACTGTGAAAGTATAAAATTATGCGTAAAATATCTGTAGTTGAAAACCTTAAATTACAACACAAAATATTTAGATGTCGGCATTAAATAACCCACAGATGTTGATAGGCCACCAATCAAAATCAGCCAATCAACATCTGCCTATGCTGACATTAAATTTCATATATAATTTTGGCAACTTATGGGTGTGAAGTCTAAGGAGACATTTAGAATATAAACCTTTTAAAATCCAAGGAAGGGTTCGTAATCCTAACCTGGCATGTCGACTTCAGTCACTTTTCCACTACCGTGACGTCGCTTCCCACTGTCATTTTCTTTCTTTTTTTTTTTCTTTTTTTTTTTGTTTATAAATATTTTCGTGGCAGTTGTTCTTATGAGGTCTTTTCTTTGGTACCCTCGATCGCATGAATTTTCGCGTACTACAAGATTGGCAACTAAATTTCACTGTTTTACTGCTGAAATAACAAACGTTCTATTCTAATAGTTTCTTTTCTCGAACTTCTCACCTGTAGAACTCTCTTCCAGTTTTTTGCTTCCCTGACACCTACAATCTTTAAATATTTAAATGCAGCATCAATCGCCATCTTCTATCTTCTCGAATTCTGTACTTTTATTGTCCTTTGTCATCACTAACGTCTCCTCATTCTCTTTCACTTCGACTAGCGCCTCTTTTGCGTGTCTAGTGGCATTATCACCTTGCTTGGAGTGAAATTATTCGTAAAAAAAGGAGTCTTTTCATATGTGTCCTTTTATATCTTTAAGTTTATTCATATCTGTTCATATCATGTTCGTTACCTTCACGCGTGGTTGGTGACCCCTGATCAGGTTCATGCTCAAGTAAAACACCAGGATATTCAACTCAAATCACATGTCCCGCTTCACCTGAGAAATTGCTACAATGCAGATTTCGTATATCGTTAAATTTGCGTACTTTAGTAAAATCTGCAATACCTCCATGACACTCCAAAGTTACATTTGTGCTTTGCAATTAATTTATGAAATGTTTATCATTTTATTTTTCATCTGTTCGTTTCTTTCTTTCTTTCTTTTTTTCTTTATTTCTTTCTTTCTTTCTTTCTTATCACCTTTTTCTTTCTTTTTTGTTATCACTCTTTTCTTTCATATTACCTTTCTTTCTTATCACCTTTTTCTTTCATAGCGCCTTCTTTCTTTCTTTCTTTCTTTCTTTCTTTCTTTCTTATCACCTTTTTCTTTCTTTTTCTCATTATCTTTTCTTTCTTTATCACCTTTTTCTCTTTCTTATCACCGTTTTCTCTTTTTTGTTTTTTCTTATCACTCTTTTCTTTCATCTCCTTTTCCTTTCTTTCTTTCTTTCTTTCTTTCTTATTACCCTGTTCTCTTTCTTTCTTTTTTCTCATCATCTCTTATTTTTTCGTATCACATTTTTCTTTTATGTCTCCTTTTTCTTTCTTTCTTTCTTATCATCTTTTTCTCTTTTTTTTTCTCATCATCTCTTCTTTTATCTTATCAACCTTTTCTTTCATATCACCTTTTTTCTTTCTTTCTTTCTTTCTTATCACCTTTTTCTCTTCTTTTTTTCTTCCTTTCTTTCTTTTTTTTCTTATCAGCTTTTTCTTCTTTTTTCTTAATTCCCAAATCGAAACATCTAAATTTTATTTCCAATTTCTATTTTCTGTTTCTGCATATCATCATTAAAGTATATACTTCTTAATTCTTCGTATCCCTCAGTGTGAACGCCGATCATAATTAACTAAATCGGCCTTTACGGAGTTGAATTACTAGCCCAACCTACTCTGCTATTTTTTAAACAAATAGCCAAGGAGACGAGTGAATATCATTCATAAATTTGAATTCAGAATAGATTTAAAAAAAAAAAAAATGGAATTTAATGAAATCTGACTGTTTCTGTCGGGATGTGAACCCGAGACGCCGATTCAATGTCATTACCCACCTCCTCATCTTTTAACTCGTGTTTGCTTTCGTTTCTTCCTTTCTTCGTTTTATTTATCTCAATATTTGAATGACAACACAAGCCTCTTGCGTTTCGCTGTATCAGAATGACTCTTTTGTTTTTGTTTTTCTTTTTGTAAAGTTTACAAAAAGAAAAACAAAAACAAAAGAAAGAGTCAGTAAAACCGAGTCTAAAATCTTCGTTCAGATCGTTGCAGAATTAGGCAGGCAAGCGTTCGTTCCCGAAAGCTTGTGACACCGATTTTCAGAAAGTACTTCTGACTTTGTAACATACGTTGCTTGCTTTCAATGAATATAAATCAATAACAATCCGAAAAAAAAAAAATCACGAAAAGTAAGGAAAGAAAGATCCCAAACTGTTAAAAAAAGAAAAGAATTTTGTTTTTTAATTGATATACTAAAACAAAAGACCCGGCACGGTAGGTGAATTTTTTTCTGATGTTATTTTAATTTGCACGTTACTTTTTTTTTTTCTTATACTATTTGTTCAGTTTATGTGTAATGTTGAAGAGCCGTTAATTGTGTTGGCATGGACCCATTTTCCCTTACCCTCTATCGTGTTGTTAGATATCTTGATAAAAATGGCTTCTTATCACTTATATGATGGTCCAGGTCAGCGGTTAAAAAACTAGACAAGAAACCACTTCGTTCTCCAATAACGAGATTAAAATTGAGGAGACAGTAGAAGCATAGTTTGTTAGACATATAATTAACTTTAATAATAACTGATTTTATTGGGAAGAACAAGAACATGAGTTTAGTGAAAATAACAAGAAAAGGTTACCCACCTATTTTATTGTTATTTTCTGGCTGGCTTTTGATATTAGAAGTTTAGCAAAATGAAAACTGAACAAAAAAATCTAAAATGTCAGAGTGTAATTAAATTTGTTTACGTGTAAAATGCGTAAACGATTTTATTTTTATCAACAGCCAAGAATCCTTCACGTTATTATTTAACTTTAGCATAGTCTATTGTTGTGTCAGGTATTTCATTTATTGCAAGTATATAAAATATGTAATTACACTGCACAATAATAATAATAATAATAATAATAATAATAATACCACCCCAAAAAATCGAGATTTTTACCCAAATTTAGAGCGTGTTAGAATGAAAAAACTTTTTTTTAAAGTAATTAAAAAATACTTTGTTCTTTCCTCTTAATAATAACATAAACATTTTGACGATAAAACTTTGTTTTTAAGTTTAGGGCCTTTTATCATTATGCTATAGTGATTTTTTAGCGAATTATTGGAGGTACCTAGATAGAGTTTTATAAGATAATCAAAACCAGATCAATCAAAGCTAATTGTCCAAACAGTGATCAAAGACCTCAAAAACGGAAAGTGCTCTCTTATTGACATGGTAGTTCCTGAATGTATCTTTGAAGATCTTCGAAAAACCTATCAAAGCACAAGGATCTTGAACTAGAAATCTGAAAAATTTGTCAATAGAAAACATCATTAATTCCAGTTTTGGTTGGGCTTCTGGGTTTTATCGGAAAAGGTTCCGATAGACTTATTAAAGGAATCCCTTGTTGTTCATACCTTATAGAAATACAAAAAATTGTTCTCCCGCCTCAGGAACGGATTTATCTATGGAAGTAAAATGTGTGTGATCTTAGGTTGTTCTGTGTTTGTTTTTCACAAAAATGTTAGTGGAAAATGTCATGATGTCATTTCTGACCATAGGTCTCTGGTTGGGACCCGGAATGTAATGAATACGCAATAGAAATTAAAGAAAGTAATAATAATGATAATAATAATAATAATTACAATACACACAGACAGAACAATTAAAGCTAATCGCCCAGACATGATGATTAGAGGCTGCAAAGACAAAATGTGCTTCCTTATTGATATGACAGTCCCTGCCGACTACAATGTATCTTTGAAGATCTTCATAAAGCTATCAAAATACAAGGATCTTGAAATCGAAATCTCAGAAACATGGCACATGGGAACATCAACAATCCTTGTTGTAGTTGGAGCCCTCGGATTGATTGGAAAAGTTTCCAATAGATTCATTGAAGGGATCCCCGGAAGCCCGTGCCTTAAAGAAATACAAAAAATTGTCCTCACAAGTACAGCCCCACACCTTACGAGGGTCTTTATCTATGTAAAATATGTGTGTGTGTGTGTGTGTTTTTTTAATTGGTCAGTGGAAAATGTCATGATGTCATTTCTGGCTTTGGGTCTCTGTGCGGGACCCGGAAAGAAAAGAGTACACACCAGAAATTAAAAGAAATAAAATAATAATAATGATAATAATAATAATAATACACTCTCTGAAACTCTACATATGGCGTCACTCATACGATAAGCGTATGTTTAAATTCAATTTGAATTCTTTCCAAAACAGGCCAGGATGTAAACAATAAAATCTTGTTTTCCATACTGATAATATTTAGTATCTGTTTATATTTCTGAGATGAAGTATTATGTACACTATTTACATTATTCGGACACAAGGGGTTACTGAGTGCGAAAGGATAAGAAAAAGAGAAGCATTATTAAGGAACGAGAACAATAGAAGAGTAATTAAGAGGACAGAAAATAATGATTGACATTGCAGTTAAATTTTTGAAGGTCACCCGTTTGTTTAACGGCATATCAACTACTTACGGGTTATTTAATGTCGAAATTCTTTCAAAATTTAATACATGGCAGCGCCTTTATCCACTGTGCCATGTGTCCTCAAGGACAAGTAGATAAAGGCGTTAGTTAGATCCAGTGACAGGACTCAAAGAGTGTGAGTTCAATACCCGGTTAAGACAGTGAACTTGGAGAGGGGAATTAACAGGAGATAACTGATATCGATTAAACGTGGAACTAGAACAGTACTACCCCAGTGAACGAAATAAAGGGTTCAGTTCGGCATTCCAACCACCTGAGGAAGGTCGGGGCGTACAACCGCCGAAACGTTGCAATAAATATGGCGACAAAGATGAGGACAATAGTCCGAATAATGTAAATAGTGTGATAATATTTACTTTTTGACTGATATTATCGAAGGTACTCAAACAAAACATAAACTTTGAACAGTAAAGCTAAAGTTACCAGTAGTTGGATGTACAATAACATATTTGAAAATTGGAAGCATATGGAAGTTGAAAGGTTGTAGAGTTAGCGTGTATTTTATGCGGGGGCGTGTTCATACGTAAATAATTAAATAAAAGACGCCTACAAAAACTTGGGTTCTACTACGGACGTTTATTCTTTTCATGTTGACTTTAGTGAAACAAAGTCGTCAATGTCTCTTCGGTATATTTGTTTTCTTTTCCTTGGTTCAAAAGTTAGGGTAAGCAAGTATAATGCGATATTCATGGTTGAGCTCAAGGCAGCCTTGCACGGAGTTGGAACAACCAAAGGAAGGTTTGTATTTACTTTACCACTGGGATTTTTAAATATGGTTATGAGATGTCCGTTTTCCTTGGTCCAGAAGTTAGGGTAAGTCAGCATAAGCATCGTTACAATGGTCGCGCTGAAGTCAGCCCTGCACTGAGTTGAAACAACCAAAAAGAATGATTGATTTACTTCATACGTTGAGGTTTTGGAAAGCAAGTGCGAGCGCCATGGGTTGGGAAGAGAGCTTGGTCGTCAGTGGACTGGGGAAACTAATATTTCCCAGTGTGAACGTAATGACCATGTGGTTCCACATCTTGGAGCAAAAAGGAGAAAGGGGGTGAGGTAGGAAATGCTTGCCTTTTGATAAATTTCAACAGCGTTGCTTAACGGCGTTTTTCGAAGCCAAATGGAGTAATTGTATTTCCTTTACTCTTAGCTTCATGAAGGTAAAAATACTTTTTGTTATTTATTGTTATTATTTTCTTTGTCGGATTTTATTTAATTTTCCCACAAACATACGATAAAAAAATTAAGCTAGCTGTCCTTGTCCATACCTTGTATGTATATTCGTATAAAATAATGATGTTTTTCGTTTGTGGTTGGGTTTGTTAATGTTACACAACAAAACGGCATATTGCAACGAGAATTTTGTTTAAACAATAACGTTTAATGCTTTCACTTGAAGATAAAACATTTTTAACACACTTTAAAACTTAATGTGGAGTCTTCATTCACACTTACCCCGATAATAATGATCCGATTTTTTTTATGTTGGTGAAAATCATGAAAGAGGAAACGAAACGAACATTGCTGTTTGTTGCGTAAAATAATGATGTTCATGAAATAACGATACCATTATTTTGTGAATACAAATATTTTTATATAGAAATAAAATTTTACTGTTATTTACAGTCTCCCCTTATTTATTTGCAACTAATTACGTCTCTTTTTTTTTCTCACTTTCTTTCTCTCTATCTTTCTCTCTATAGAACCTCTTTCAACTAAGGAGAATTACTAAAGGCGATGATATGTATGTTTTATATTGTAGTTTTGTTGAAGTTTTATTTTGGAATACAGTTTGATTTTTTTTTTTAAATGTATGATATTATATGGATTAATGTCATGAAAGAGTTTTTTCATGTTGATTGATTTTGTTTGGCGGCATATGTACCTCTATCGATTATTTAATACCGAAATCTAAATATTTTGAACACAATTCTATGGTTTCAACTAAATATATTTTGAACGCAATTGTATATCTTCAACTACAGATAAAATGTATTGTTGGTCATTTTCCTTTAAATATGTA